TATCAGATTTATTTTTATGAAATCACCATTTTTTATGAAGGGCATAGACAAGAATGAGAATATATTGATGATAGAACACCAACGAGGAGGCTTTAGGTGGGGTGGAGGGGGGGGCGGGGAGCCAGTTTCCTGCATTAAGGCAAATGGTGGTACAAAAGGGACAAAGTAAAGCTATGAAAGACTTCTCTGTGCCAGATTACATGTGAAGGAGAGTAGTCCAGGATAACCCCTAGTGTCATGGATTGAATTGTGTCCCCCAAAAATATCTGTCAGCTTGGCTGGGTCATGATTCCCAGTATTGTATAATTGCATACTGTTTTGTAATCTGATGTGATTTCCTTAAGTGTTGTAAATTCAATCACTATGATCTAATAAGATGGATTAGCAGCAGTTATACTGATGAGGTATACAAGATTGGATAGTGTCTTAAGCCAATCTCTTTTGAGATATAAAAGAGAGAAGTGAGCAGAGACACATGGGAACTTCATACCACCAAGAAAGCAGTGCTAGGAGCAGAGTGCATCCTTTGGACCTGAGGTTCCTGCGCTGAGCTGCTCCCAGACCAAGGGAAGACCGATGCATCACAAGGACCTTCCTCCAGAGCCAACAGAGAGAGAAAGCCTTCTCCTGGAGCTGATGCCCTGAATTTGGACTTGTAGCCTACTGGACTCTGAGGCAATAAACTTCTCTTTGTTAAAGCCATCCACTTGTGGTGTTTCTGTTATACCAGCACTAGATGATTAAGACACCTAGATTTCTAATTTGGACAATTTGATGAGTGGTAAAACCATGGTATTCCCTCTTAGCATGGATGTTTATTGCCATATGATCAAGACTTTCTTCATGAGAAACTATTTGTTCTGTAAACCTTCACCTGAAGTACAAAAAAAAATTTTTTTTAAAAGTTTCTTATTAAGGTTGGGCTCCCAGGCATCACTGCTATGAGAAGGAGCTGGGCTGAAAGGCTGGCATATATTTCATAGACAATTTTTCCAAACTAGGTCCCAGGAATCACTAGTTTGGAGAAATGTTAATAGATATCTTGGAAGGGGGTGAAACTTTTAATTATCCAAAGCTTTTGTGAAAGACAAATACTCTACACCACTCTTGGAGTCTTACAGTATAAATTAGCATATTAAAGGTTCTGAGAAGTCCCACAGTAAAGAAGTTGTTAAGTTTTCTTTAACTCAGCATTTAAACTATCTGAACATAGAAGCTTTTTCCACAGAACATGTATTTGGGGGAGACCGCTGTGTAGAAGAGATCTGACTAGATTAAATTCAGGTTTTGTGTTATGAAACTAGGGAAGATGACAAACCAAAAAAAAAAAAAACCAAACCCATTGCTGTTGAGTCAATTCTGACTCATAGGGAACCTATAGGACAGAGTAGAACTGCCTATAGGATTTTCGAGGCTATAAATCTTTATGAAAGCTGTCATGGATTGAATTATGTCCCCCAAAAATATGTGTCAACTTTACTAGTCCATGATTCCCAGTATTGTGTGATTTCCCTCCATTTTGTGATCTGATTATCCTCCATTTTGTGATGTGTGGTAAATCCTAGCCTCTATGTCTCTGGTTATGGTCCCATTTGGGAGTAAGCTGTCTCTTATGTTATGGTCCCATTTGGGAGTAAGCTGTCTCTTATGAGACAGGATTAGGTCATGTTAATGAGGATTAGGTTATATTTTTATGTTAATGGGGTAGGACTAGGGTGAATCACCCCCTTCACCACTCTACAAGAGATAAAAGCAGAGAGAGAGGGACTTCCTACCACACGAAAGAAGAGCTGGGCATAGAGCATGTCCTTTGGACCTGGGGTCCCTGTGCTGAGAAACTCCTAGACTCAGGGGAAGATTGATGACAAGGACCTTCCCACAGAGCTGACAGAGAAAGTCTTCCTGTGAAGCTGGCACCCTGAATTTGGACTTCTTGTCTCCTAAACTGTGAGAGAATAAATTTCTGTTTGTTAAAGCCACCCACTTGTGATAGTTCTGTTATAGCAGCACTAGATAACTAAGACAGAAGCAGACTGCCACATCTTTTTCCCATGGAGCAGCTGATGGGTTCAAACTGCCAACCTTTCAGTTAGCAGCTGAGTGCTTAACCACTGCGCCAGCAGGGCTGGATTCTATTCTCTAAGAGTAAATGTTGTGTTTGGATGATAAGAAAGATATCAGTAATATGCTGATAAATGTTTAGCAACCAACTTGGAGAGTGGTGGTGAGATGGGTAAATATTTGGAGGTGTGAGGAGACTCAGGAGGAAATATGAAATAATTGTCATGGAGAGCAAGCAAGTAGACTTATTAGGGCTGTATAATAGAATTTCTAGGCAGTGTTGAGTCCTCATTAGAGGTCTGAGATCATGAATTTAAAGTGCAGCTAGCCAGCAATGGTTGTGCCCTTTTCTCTAGCAACATTTAACTACTTGGGTTCAGGAGTTGAGAAGACAGGTGCTGAATGCAACCAGGATTAGGGTTTTTCCAGGAGAGAGTGACAAAGGAAAGGGAGTCTGGTGGGTGAGGAGGGGAGTGAGCATATGCGGGTGTGATGATAATGGAAAGGTGAAAGGATCTTTGGATTTGGAGGTCTTGATCAATCAGAAGATGGTTGGAGTTGGAGTACTAGAGTGAGTAAGCTGAAAGGAGAGAAAGTGATAGTGTTAAGATTTTGGAGAAGGTGCATGTCTTAGTTTCCTAGTGCTGCTGTAACACAAATACCACAAGTGGGTGACTTTAAAGAACAGAACTTTATTTTCTCACAGTGCTGGAGGCTAAAAGTCCAAACAAATCAGGGTCTCAGCCATGTTGATTCCTTCCTTGTCAGTATCCCTGGGCATTCCTTGGTTCCTTGGTTTGTAGACAATTCTTACATGGCACCTGTCTTCCCCAGTTTGTATATGCATGTCTCTGTGTCTATGCTGCTTTCTATATCTTCAGAAGTGATTAGGTTTAGGATTCCCCCTACACTGATATGGACCTCAACTGATTGATTGCATCACATTAGATTGCACTGTTGAAGGTGATTAAATTAGATTAGATTAGATTATATCCACAGGTATAGGGGTTAGGATTCCAACACATACTTTAAGGGGACACAATTCAATCCTTAACAGTGCAGTTACTGGTGATAAGAATGAGGGTGAGGCTATGGTTGTGATGGTTGCGATGGGGCAAGGTAAAGGTGATTGGAAGTGAGAAGGTGCAAGGCCCAGGTATTGAGTAAGTCATGCTGAAGTCATCCAGGGCAGTGACGTAGGGGGGTTGAAGAGGAAGGCAGGTGAGCCAGGTGCTAATCCTCCAGGGTTTAGGAGGAGTGACAGGAAGTTCAGAGATGACGGCAAGAAACATAGACAGTGAGTAGAACAGCTGGCTGGCAGGAGCTTCACAGGAGCCAGGGCTTCAAACCAGTTCATTCCAGTTCGAACCCCTGCTGAGAATTTGCATTTCTAACAAGTTCCCAGGCAATGCTAATGCTGTAGGTTACAGATCAGTTTTGAGAACCACTAGTAGAGCAGTGGTTCTCAAAATTTATATCATATATAAGAATCACCTGGAGATCTTGTTAAAATGTAGATTCTGATTCAGTATTATCTGGGGTGGAAATGCAAATTTTCAGCAGGGGTTCAAACCAGAATGAACTGGTTCGAAGTCCTGACAGGAGCTGGGAATTTTACAGGAAATAGCAGGCATGTTTTTGAAACAGCAGTGGCCAAAGACACTCATCCCACGTTTAGACTTCAGGATGATGTGGAATATCAGAGGAAGACAGAGGGGTGTCCTTAGGGAACATCTAGGTTCCAGTTTAAGGCAAGAAAGTAAAGGGAAGGTTCCGAGAATTGGTTGAGCATTTAGGAGAATTTTCCAATGAAGGTGCAGAATTCCAAGGGCACAGGGTAAGAGTTTAAGAGGGTTAGGAGGTAGGGGAGTAGACTGGGTAGAGGATGTCCAGAGCTTCCTAGGGAGGCAGTCCAGCTGATGATGGACCTGCATGGTTTGACGACTGGGGTGACTGCGTAAGCAAGGATGTGAGGAAGGAGGGATTGGTCCTGATGGTGGATGCTCAGCTCAAGCTTGAGTCCTTGAGGTGACACCTCACTCTGCTTTGGCTGAAACACCAATAGGGCGATTTTTAAACTTAGCCTTCTACTGCCTTGTACATTTCTTAGATGCCTTGTTTCACCAGCTAAACAGTGAACTCATGGCAAGCAGGGCTGTGTACCATATTTCTTCTGCACACTTTAACATTTGGCACAATGCACACTCAACAAATACTTGGTGAAGGAATGATTCTTAAGAGAGAGATAGGTACATGTTCCTGTCCTGCCCATAAAATATTACTAGGAACTTTAGCTAACATTACCACCCTATTAGAGTGCTTCTGCCTGAGTTCTCCACTTACTCATTGATGTCCTTAGGAGGGGAGTGATTTGTGTGTTGAGGCGGTACTCTCTCCTCAGTGACCAACCTTCCCAGCTAGAAGAGCACATCTTCCTCTCAGACATCATTTTCCTGTGGTAAGCTCACATGATTCTAGACCTAGGTTAGCTCACAGGCCTGCTATCTTGGTGCTCTGACTCTTACATGTCTATGCTTGATGGGGTACCTGGACAGGTAAGGGTACCTGATTAGGTAAATTAGACAAACTCTCTCTCTGTGCAACTCCTAATATTTAGCCTGTGCTGTCCAGTATGGAAACCAGTAGTGACATGTGGCTATTGAAATTAAATAAAATTTAAAAATCAGTGCCTCAGTCGCACTAGCCACATTTTAAGTGCTCAGAAGCCACAGATGGCTACTGGCTACCATATTGATCAAAGTGCTATAGAACATCTCACTATCCCAGGAAGTTTTATTAGACTTTGGTGATCCTAGACCACTAATAAAGCTGTTATTTTGATCCCTTTCTAACACTGTGTTTTTCTTCATACAGAATCCATGACCTAGCGCCAAAACTCCAACACGTTGGAAACGAGTTGAGCTCCCTGAACCCTAGCCATGGCCCAGTACAAGGGCACCATGCGGGAGGCGGGCCGCGCCATGCACCTGATCCGGAAGAGGGAGAAGCAGAAAGAGCAGATGGAGGTGCTGAAGCAGCGTATCGCACAGGAGACCATCACCAAGTCAAAGGTGGACAGGATGTTCTCGGCACACTACGACGCGGTGGAAGCAGAACTGAAGTCGAGCACGGTGGGCCTGGTGACCCTAAACGACATGAAGGCCAAACAGGAGTCCCTGCTGAAGGAGCGAGAGATGCAGCTAGCCAAGAAAGAGCAGCTGGAGGAGCGCCGCCTGCAGCTGGAGACGCTGAGGGAGAAGGCGCGCCGGCACGAGCAGAAGCGCAAGATCTCCAGCTTGTCCTTCTCGATGGAGGAGGTCGAGGAGGAGGAGGGCACACGTGAGCAGGAGCCTGATAGGGCAGAGGTGACTAAGAAGAGGAAAAACCTGGGGAAGAATCCCGACGTGGACACCAGCTTCCTGCCGGACCGTGACCGTGAAGAGGAAGAGAATCGCCTACGGGAGGAGCTGCGCAAGAAGTGGGAGGCCCAGCGCGAGAAGGTCAAGAGCGAAGAGATGGAGATAACCTTCAGCTACTGGGATGGCTCGGGGCACCGGCGCACTGTGCGCATGAACAAGGGCAGCACTGTGCAGCAGTTCCTCAAGAAGGCCCTGCAGAGCCTGCGCAAGGACTTCAGAGAGCTGCGCGCTGCTGGCGTGGAGCAGCTCATGTACATCAAGGAGGACCTGATCCTGCCTCACTACCACACCTTCTATGACTTCATCATCACCAAAGCGCGTGGCAAGAGCGGCCCACTCTTTAACTTCGACGTGCATGACGACGTGCGGCTGCTGAGCGACGCCACCATGGAGAAGGATGAGTCGCACGCGGGCAAGGTGGTGCTGCGCAGCTGGTACGAGAAGAACAAGCACATCTTCCCGGCCAGCCGCTGGGAGCCCTACGACCCCGAGAAGAAGTGGGATAAGTACACCGTCCGATGAACGCCTGTCCTTCCTGTCCATCTCTTTATTCTGTGGCTCTGGCCAGTCCCTCTGCTTGAGCAAGATCGGATGAACCAGAATAGGAAACTGGGGAGGAAAACACTTAGGTTTCTATGGACTTCCACCTATCACTTAATTTGGTGATCTTAATTTCTTCTGTGAAATTTAATAAAGAGGGCTCATGTTATTAAAATTTGGTTATTCTGTTACTGATATTTTGTTTGGTTGGTTGAGGTTTTTTGTTTTGTTTTGTTTTGTTTTGGAGTATTTGTAATGTTATCCTGTAGATTCATTATATAGCTCTGGTGAGCTATATTGGAAAACAAGACTGAGAACAATTGTGAGGTAGAAATTAGAACAAGGAGTAAATTTTTGACCTGGGCCAAAGTATTAAAACTAGTAGTTATAAGCATGAACTTTGGAGCCAGATTGAGTTTGATTTCCAACTCAGTTTCTTACTAGCATGATAATTAAATGTCTGTGCCTCAGTTTCCTTGAGTGTAAATGGGGATAACAACAGCACCCACCTTATGATATTGATGTGAGAATTAAGTATTTGTGCAGCACTTAGAACTCAATAAATGTCTGCTATTATTATTACCATTATGCTCTTGATTAATTTATTTAAACTACTACTATGACCCATTTGAGAACCACCTGGGGGCAAGATGACCTGCCAATCTCAGGTCCCAGGAGACCCTCACGGTAGCAGTGGTTGGTGGTGGGGGTGAGCTCACAAAGGCGGGAGCGGTACTACACGGACAATCACTGTTCTCCTCTCCCAGGGAGCAGTTGTGTGTGCCTTCTCAGCTTAGTCTATAGTCCAGGCCATAGAATAGGAGGGATAATTCTTTTCCCAATCAGAGTTCTTGCATCTGCCATAACCAAAAACTTCTACTGCAACTTTGGCTCTCTAAAGCAGTAGATTCCAATTCCCTCCCTCTTCTCACCCCTTGATCCCTCTGCAGTTTCAAGCTGCTCACTCTACCTGTCCAGTATCCCTACCCAAGAAGGCTTCTTCTCAGAGGGAGATAGTCTCCTTTGTTGTGTCATCTAACTCCAAGGTCCTTCCGCAGGAAGTCTTCCTTCATCCCTGCTGCACCAGATGTGTGTTCTCCTTCCTCTCATTGTCCACAGCACTTTGTCTTGTGATATGTTCTGTATTGTTGACATAGGCTGGGTTCTCTAGAGGAGCAAAACTAGTGAAGTGTATATATATAAATACATATAGAAAGATTTATTTCAAGGAAATGGCTCATGCAGTTGTGGAGGATGGCAAGTCAGGCATCATGCTGGAAGCTTCTCGTTACTCATATGGTTGCAGGGGCTGACAAACTCAAAATTAGCAGGTCAGATGGTAGGCTGCTGGCTCATGGGGCTGCAGGAGCTGGTGAATCCCAAAATCAGCACATTAGGCAGCACATTGCTGGCCCATGTCCCAAGAACTGGAGGTCAGAGGACGAGTCAGATGCAGGATCGAGAGAGAGGGAACTTTGCCAGAACATCCATATATATCGGATGCAGGCCACACCCCCAAGGAAGCTCCCCTTTCAGCTGAGTGGCTGCTCACATCAGATCACAAAATGGAGGATGATTACATAGTATCTGCAAAACCACTGAAGAACCATGGTCTGGCCAAGTTGACACATATCCTTAACCATTACTGTCCACCTCTTGTCAATTTGGCACCGATACACATCTCCTTAAATCATACATAATTTCTAAATGAAGACAATTATAAAGCCATACTTGCACCTAACATGATACAACTAACATGCATACAATCAAAAATGCACTAACCCCATTTACATCTTATATTTTATAATGAGCAATGGAATAAGGGAGGGAAGGAAACAAAGATATTTGATAGCTATCCACACACACACACACACACACACACACACATATAACAAAACAAGGAAGAAATACAGAAATACTCATAGCAATTACAATCCTTGTTTATGCAACTGGTCACATGGTTGTAGCTGGTATTTAGAACTACCTTCTTCCACCACTCATTCTTTATTCCCTTTGCCCTCAGCAAGCACCTCAGCTGATTGTGGTTCTTTGCCTGGTAAGATGACAAACTGTAAAAATGGCATGGCGGTATCTGACCTCCTCTAACTTTACAAGGGGGAAGGACAATCAAGATCACTAGCCCAAAGCTAATTCCTCTAAGGTGGAGGCCAGACATGCTTCCTCTCTCCAATATTTTTACCAATTCTGACACGAAGCCGTCCCTCTCACAGCACTCTACTTCTCCACTGGGTTCAATAATCCATTGCAATGGCCACAGAGAACTCACAGACGATACTGACAATTATGGGGTTTATTAGGGAAGTACCAGGTTACAATTCAAGATCAGGAAAGTCTCAGGATACAGTTCTTCGGTCAGGATAGCTTCTCAGCCTACACACAGGCAGGCCTTTCCCTGGCCCTCAGCCCCCTCCGGAGTCTTGGGATGATCTGGCCTCTGCCTTGCTAGAGCAAGTGTTAACAAACCTTTTTAGCTCCACAGATAAGTATGGATCCAGTATGCCAGTAAGCCTTGGCTTGAAGGCACTCAGCTCTCTAGCTCCATAGGTCAGCCAGCCTAGCTCCACCAACTGACCAGAGGCACCCAACTCCATCAGCAAGCCTCCTGCCCAACGGCGCTCAACTTTCTTGCTCTATGGGCCAGGAAGCCCAAGGCGCTATCTCCTGACAGTCTCCTGGTTCTGCTGCCTCTGCTGCTGCCATTTCTCTACTGCTGATTCTTGCTGTCTCTCACTGTCTCTGGTGTTACAGCTTTCTCTCTCCTTGGTCCAGGAGATGCCCAATGCAGGGACACCGGGGGCAAAGGATACACTCCACTCCTATCCCTTCTTTCTAGGTGGTAGTGAGGTCCCCCCTCTGCTTTGGAATAGGCTCTCTTTTAAGCCTAGTGGGATGGCAAAACTGACCAGTCCCCTCGTTAGGGTTCCATACACCTTATTTGCATGGTCCCACCCACACAAGGGTGACATCTACCTTTTTCGCATTATTAGCAAGCTATCCAATCCCTTGGTGGGCCACAAACACCTTATTTGCATAGTTCCACCTAATCTGTTGCTGGGAGTTACAACTATGGCTAGAAGGGCCATATTAAGTAATTCACTACCCTGCAAAAAAACTTCATTCCTGAAGGGTCTGGGCCATTAGTAGTCATGTCAAAATAGGGATGCTGTGGTTTTCTATTGATTTTAGTCACAGGGCATGGTAGTACTAAGAGATGTCCTAATGGACCTCCTGTATTCCAGACATACTCTTCTTTACCTCCAATATGTTATATCAATGCGATTATCCTTTGGTAATCAAGATCAGTCATACCAGCCAATAAAGTAACTCCCTTCTTTGCCTGTTGATCCAGAGGCATCAGGAACCCAAAGTGGCCAGGTGGTATTCTTAACTTCCAGTTCAGTGGAATCAGTGTTGTGTTTCCTGGTGGGACCATTCCTCTCTTTGAAACTAATATTTCTTAACCCACACAGCGTAGGGCCTCGTGGACAGGAAACTAAAATTTCGTGAGTGGGTCACTAGGGTTAATAGTGAACGGTTCCACCCCCATTTCTGCCTCTTGATTCCTGTACTCATGAATCCTGGCTATGGGAGAAACAGCACCATATACTGGACACTGGTTTAGAGCATATAGAGCCTCATAGAGAACATAGCCCCAACCCTGCAAAGTATTGACACCTAGCTGGTGCCATAATTGTGTCTTTGGAAGGCAATTCTATCATTCTATCAAGCCAGCTGCTTCAGGATGATGGGGAACATGGAAAGACCAGTGAATTCCATAAGCATAGACCCATTGCCAGACTTCATTTATTGTGAAGTGAGTTCCTTAATCCAAGGCAATGCTGTGTGAGATACCATGACAGTAGATAAGGCATTCTGTGAGTCCACAGATGATACTTTTGGTAGAAGCATTGTATGCAGGGAAGGCAAAGCCGTATCCAGGGAAGTGTCTATCCCAGTAAGAACAAAACGCTGTCTTTTCCATGATGGAATTGGTCCAACGTAATCAATCTGCCACCAGGTTGCTGGCTGATTGACCCTAAGAATGGTGCCATATCGAGGACTCAGTGTTGGTCTCTGCTGGTGGCAAATTGGGCACTCAACAGTGGCTGTAGCCAAGTCAGCCTTGGTGAGTGGAAGTCCATGGTGCTGAGCCCACACATAACTTTTATCCCTGGCCATGGCCAATTTGTTCATGAGTCCCTTGAGCAATGACAAGAGTGGCTGGGGGAAAGAGGTGGACTGGTATCCACAGAATACTTTGTCCTATCCACTTGATTGTTCAAATTCTCCTCTGCTGAGGTCACCCGTTGGTGAGCATTCACATGAGACACAAATATTTTCACTTCTTTGGCCCATTCAGAGAGGCTTATCCAGATGCATCTTCCCTGTACATCCTTGTCACTAATTTTCCAGTCATGTTCCTTCCAAGTCCTTGACCATCCAGCCAAACCACTGACCACAGTATACAATCACACTTTTGGCTGTTCTCCTTCCAAGCAAAATGAACAACCAGGTGCACTGCTCAAAATTCTGCCCACTGGGAGGATTTGCCTTCACCACTGTCCTTCAGCAAGGTCCCAAAAAGGGGCTACAGTGCTGCCACTATGCACTTTCAAGTCATGCTTACATATTGTGCAGAACCATCTGTGAACCAGGCATCTGTTTTCTCTTCCTCAGTCAACTGATTGTAAGGAACTCCCCCATGAAGCTATAGGTGCAAACTAGGGGAGGGCAAGTAATGTGACAGAAGTGAAGACCATGTGCATTTGGGCCACTTCCTCATGTAAGTTACTTGTACCTTCAGGTCCCACTGAAGACTGATCTCTTATATACTACTTCCATTTAATGATGGAGTGCTGCTGTGCACGTCCAACTTTATGACTCTGTGGGTCAGACAACACCAGTGCATGATGGGCAGCTCAGGCTGCATGGTGACTTGGTTAAACGTTCAGTCTCTATGAAGGTACAGTAACAAGCCAAAAGCTGTTTCTCAAAAGGAGAGTAGTTATCT